GGGGGGAGGGGGCTCAACTGGATACAAATTTATCTGACATCAGATAGACTTCCCTGGGAGACAGGGTGTGGCTATGCAGAGAAAAGAAAAACTCAGCAGGCCCCCAGAATACTGATTTATGACTAACTATAGAGAAATTTTAAAATAGGCCTGCCCTAGCCCACCCTTCCACTCCCTCCACCCCATCCAATCATTTCTCTAATCTCCATCTCTGTTCAGCAGTATGTGTGGAGGATCAGGATACTGAGGATACTTAGGTTCCAGGGTCTGGCAAGGTAACCCAGTCCTTTCCAAGCATCACTTTCCATCATTAGCATCACTAGGCAAGTTTGTTAAAACACAGATTTTTGAGCCTACCCACTATTTTCTGATTCAGCAGGACTGGGTGAAATCCCTAAATTATGCTTTAACAAGTGATTCTGGTTCAAGGACCATGTTTTGAGAACTGCTGAAGAAACCTTGGCCTGGTCTAACTTTAACCAGGAGCCCTAAAGAGGCCCCCCTCAGGCTGAGGAACAGGCACTGGATCTGGAAACCAAGGCTTTGGTTGTGGGCTACTCAGTTTCCACCTGCATGAAAGGAAAACTTGGAGTGTCAAGAGCTTAGATGTGAAAGTCCTTTGTAAAAGGAGAGGTGAGATTCAATGTTAGTTATTATTCCACTCAAATCTAGAGCTGTAAAATTTGTTTGTTTTGAGGGAGGATGAAAAAAAATAGGTAGAAAGAAGACAAAAGAACCGGCTTTTAACTTTAAAAGCCTTGTGCTAAAGTTCTTTATACCTTCATTCCCAAAGCCAATATTCCTCCCAGAATTCTAGGAATCTACAAATCTTCATTCATAACCTTAGTCACTGCAAATTCACCCACTTATGAAAATTGCCCTGTGCAATGTTAATTAGCCCACTAATACATGCATTTTTAGAATAGATTGAGCAGAGATATGAAATCAATAATATAGGGTAATTTCCAGTATTATCTATTGATCAATAGATAATGAAGAAGACATGAACCTAAGGATCCTGAGAACAGCCAGGCCACCAAAACCATCTTGTGATCACCAGTCAAATGTTGTACCAATGTTAGAGTAGGTAGCTAGACAGACATCAGCAAGGGAGGTGGGAAAAGGAAATTTAGGATCTGACCCTGGTGATACCAGTCCTGGAAATCAAGATCGGGTTCTTTTCCCCCCAGTGTTGAAGATTAAACACCCAAGAAACTCCACGAGGCAAACACAGAAAGTAAGTTTTATTTGAGACAGAACAGAGATAGTAGACTTCTCCAAAGAGGATCTGGGACCCAGAGCTGAAGCTCTTGGGAGGGAGTATGTGTCTTGCTCCTTTACAGATCTCTCAGGTTTTTTCCCATCTTGCCTATCAGACCAAAAGATTAAAAAAAAAAAAAAAAAAAAAAAGAGCCACCCAGGGAGTTCTCTTTGGCAAATTCTTGTATTGGGAGGAGTGATGGGGGCATGCTCTTGATGTGTTAGCATTTCATTTCTTTTTCTTTGAATCCTTTCCCCACCTTCCCAACCCTATCATTTATTATCTACTCTGACTACCTGTCTTTTGCCCTGTTTCACTGAGTGGCACCAAACTGGGCTTTATACCACCCAGGACAGCTTTCTTGGATCAAACTCCATGTCAATCTAGAGAAAATGCTTACAATCTATGCTGTAAAAATTTCCAACATAGCAAAATTGGCACAGATGCACAACAACAGTGGGAAACTAGAGTAACTGCTCCAAATAAATAATTCATGGAGTGATGTTATAGAGCAAGGGCCCACCATAGTACCAAGGCAGCCACAGAGTTCCTCCATTCCTGGTTTTTGCAAGCATGCAGCAATTATTTCAGACATGTTGCTCAGAGAAGGAGGCATGATTTTATCAGAGGGACAGGAAAAAAGGAAAAGGGGAAAAAGGGGATGGTCTCAAAGGAGAGAGTGGATCTTCTTAGAGAGGAGAAGGATGGGTACCCCTTCTGTCCTCTAGTTTTATTGGAAATCCCAGAGAAGTTTCCAAAGAGTCCCACCCAGGTCCACCTCTTGACTTTTGACAGACAGCAGGATTGCATCAGACTTAAAAATCCCCACTGTTCATGATAAAGATCCAGGTTAACTTTGGGTCACTGGCCCACACTGACCAGTTCTAATTATCAACACTCTCTGAATTCTAGAATCTGGTCTGTGTAAAGGTGGTAAGAGTAGCCCCCCACACACACACACACCATAGGGTAATTTGTTCTTCTTAGCAGCAAGGAGGAGGCTTTTGGACCTGCATTTCTCCTGCAAAAAAACAGATCCTTTGCTGAGGAACATAGGATCTTTATTGACTTAAGCCAGGCAGGGCTTCAGGTAAATTGTTTTTTCTAAAAGAAAATATATCAGGATCAGAACAGTAGGTCCCCATTTATAGAACAATCCCCTTAACCTCTTGTTCCCACAACTCACCGTTTGCTTGTTTTCTATCAGATCTCAAACAAGCCATAAAAGTCCATGACACAGAAGCCAGGAAGACAACTCTTGCACAGTGGAAGCATTATTTACAAACATTAAAACATTAAAAAAAACCCTTGTTGCTTTTTCTGTTTGTTTTTTTTTAATTTTAATTTGTTATATATGACAGCAGAATGCATTATAATTCATATAACACATGCAGAGCACAGTTTTTCACATCTCTGGTTGTACTCAAAGTAGAGTCACACATACCATTCGTGTCTTCATATATGTACTTAGGGTAATAATGTCCATCACATTCCACTCTCTTTCCTACTCCTATACACCCTCCCTTCCCCTCCCTCCCCTTTTCCCCTTCGCCCTATCTAGAACTCAATTAATCTTCCCATCCCTCCCTCCCCACCCGCAGCATATTATGAATCAGCATCCTTGAATCAGGGAAATCATTAAGCATTTGGTTTTTTGGGATTGGCTAATTTCACTTAGCATTATATACTCTAGCTCCAACTATTTATCTGCAAGTGTCATTATCTTATTCTCTTTTAATGCTGAATAATATTCCATTGTGTGAGATATATATATATATATATATATATATATATATATATATATCACATTTTCTTTATCCATTCATCTACTGAAGGGCATTTAGTTTGGTTCCACAGTTTAGCTAGTGTGAATTGTGCTGCTATAAACATTCATGTGGCTGTGTCCCTGTAGTATGCTGTTTTTAAGTCCTTTGGATATAGAAGTACGAGTGGGATAGCTGGGTCAAAT